TGCTTACTCGAATTGGCGTATGGTGTTTGTGTGGTCGTCGATGTCGGCATGGTGGTATGATGATGAGAATGGCCGAGCTGATGATGGGCCGTTCGCCTGTAGTGAGATGACTCATAGTAGTTTTGATATGAGTATGCGGAATTACGGTATGAACATTCACGTCAAGATTGGCAATCTTACGTTCACCTACCTCCCGTGTGTGTCATCATCATCATCAACATCATCATCATCATTGCCTCTCCTCAGTCTGAGGCCCGGCGACGAGTACATCTTTGCTTTGGAATTGAAGACCTACTCGCCAGAGGACCCCAACAGAGAATTCCCTGGTCACAACATGGCAGTTAAAGTGGACCTGTCAGGGGTGCGGGTGTGGGTGTTAAGGCCGGCTATTCAAAGGCTATGGGAATACATTGGCTCGGCATTCATACCCTCAGTGTCTGGTGACACTAGTGGTGACACCACACCCATTGTGGACATTCCTACTGAGGATGAGAGACCGCCTGAAAGGATGTTCACGGCCGACAGCTCGGCGTTAGACAGTGGCGAGACTGACAGTATCGACTCCTCGGGTTACTACTCGCTTGACGAGAGCCTTGAGGATGATGATAATGGTGAAGGAGGAGCGAAGGGGGGCAGTAAGGCAACAGAGTAAGTGAAGTGATGAGGGCCCATTGCATCAGTCTTGGTATTTCAGGATTGCTGCTTTAACGCCGTCTCTACCATCTTCTGAGAGTTCAACGGTGACGCCTTCAAGTAGTCCTTCGCCTCCTCTTGTTGATACCAGTATGGTGGTTACAGCTAATTTGATTGACTCTAGCATTATCCTGCCGGTATCTGAAGAACCTAGCTCTGAGCTGTTGGTGACTAGAGGGACGGTTGTGTGTCAAGTCGAGAAGGCTACTACTCCTACTAGAGGACCATCGGTTGGGTCTATGAACACTAAAGTGACGTTGCATAACGGTACACTGTTCACGACTAAGAACTTTGACGTTCTCAATCGTCTTGAGAGGGAATGGAAGACGGCCGGAGAGGCCGCTGGCGCCGTTGGGAGCACATCGCCTATGTCTGATGTTAGCAGTGTTGTGCTGGCTGTTGGTGACGGTGGAGCTAGAGCCATCCTGAGTGATTGTGATGCTT